TCTCATTCTTAGTTATATTTTCCTATTTTGTGTTGCTTTTGGACTTTTTCTCAATTTTTCCCCTTACCTTTTCTTATACATGTTCTATATAATAATTTTGTTATTAAGCTATTTGTCATCTCTCGCTATTTTTTTCAGTACTATGATATATGTTTTTTAGCATTAAATACGAAAATTTTATATTCTATTTGTTTTTCTCATTATGTTTTATGTTTTCCTGCTTTGTGTTACTTTTGGACTTTTTCTTAATTTTTTCCCCTTACCTTTTCTTTTCAATGTGTGTTAGTTGTGATGTTGTTTTGGTGTCTCTTATTATTTATGTTGATTTTTTTCTTATTATGTTTTTGTTTGCTATTTTCTAGTTGTAGCGTTTGCTCTCTGCCGACTATTTATTTGGTTATTTTTTGACTATTTTCATTCGAATAGGTTAGCTTTTATTTATTTTTATTTTTGAAATATATATGCCTTAAAATATGTTGTATGTGAAGGTCTTTATGATTCCTTTCAATGTTGTGCTGTATGTTTTTTATTTATTTATTTATTAACTATGAACACTAGTCGAAAAAGGATAGAGCAAATATAGTATATGCAAATAATGCTTGTAGATATTTTATATTATGTTTATCTTAATCCTTTTGAAATGTGTTTGTCTGCCTCCTGTTGCTTTTTGACCTTCATGCGATGATTTTTTCCTTACTCTTTCTTTCATCCAATGTGATTCTCTCTACTGCTTTAATGCATCTCATTGCTGGTACTTATGTTTTTTTTTTTTTTTTCCTTCTTTATATTTTTTTTTGGTTTTTTTTTTTTTTTGGTTGTTGCATTCTATTATTGCTAGTTGTTTATTTGGTTTGTTTCGTCTTAACGGTCGATCAAGTTAACTTTCATTTCTATTTTTTTTAAATTCAAATATCTATAGTTTTGGAGTGTTCTGGCCTTTATATTTGTATGAAAGCTAATATACATGGTTTTTAGTAAATATAAAAATTGGCTTGAAAAGGATAGAGTAAAAGGCGTGTATACAGATACTAGTTGTGGATTTTTTTTTAATTGTGTTTGTCCTTTTGTTTAATTATATTTCTCTACCATTAGTTGGTGTTTGACCTTCCTACGATGCTTTTTTCGTTACTCTTTTCTTTTGTCCCATGTCATTCTTCTTGCTGCTTTGTTGCATCTTATTGTTGTTGCTGATGATTTTTGTTTTCTTCTGCATGCTTACTTGTCATTCCATCGTTCATTTACTTGACGTCTCACTTTTCAATCCAAATTTCGTAGCTTAACATGAGGCATATGAACATCAAATGTTTGATAAATAAAAATAGAATAATAATTCAACACTTACTTCAACCAACTATTCTCCATAAACATGTCTTTCATTTTCTTTTGCGCTTTAAAAAAAAAACCACGATATGCTCTTTTTTTAAAATAAAAATAAGGGTTTTCTTCACGTATCTCATAGGTTCTTTCTCAATTCTAAATAAAAAAGGAAAAATAACTTGTTTAACTTTATTTTTTTAGTGAGAAAAAAAGTGTTGCATGTATATTTAACTTCTATTTTTTTTACTTTTCGCAAGAGATTTTTTCTCACTATTAGAGCTACTATATTGTGTTATATGGATGATGGCATCTCATATGTCTCCATTACCTGCACATTGCTCAAAAGTTTATGACCAAATACAATTGCCCAAACCACAGAATGCTCTGCTAAGATTTAGTCCCATAATCCCTCCTTCAAACACTCATTCTTTTAAAACGATTTTTTCTGCTCAATAATTGTTTTTTAATCTTTTTTATACTCTTAAATTTCAATATATCAACATCTTTTTATGATTGCAGCTATCGTGTTATATGAATCATTAACGACAATACCGTTGAAGCTTCAATGTTGAAGCATGATTTGTTGAGGAATTTTTTGACATCCACCACTTATCTATGTTTGGTTTTTTTTTTTTTTTGGCCTTTGGCTTTCCTTCTATTTCATGTTTTGCAAACTTTCATAGTCCTCTTTCCTTTTTAATCAAAAGGAAAATATTTTCCAACATTCTGTATTATAATTGGTGGTTTTGTCGCCGACCTATTAAAAAAAAAAAAATTTAAACTCTTAAACCTCATTTGGAGAATTTTTTGTTGGCTTAGCTACAAGGCTATACTAACATTGGTTAGTGGTTTAACAAACCTAATTGCAATTGTTATTATTCTTTGCCTAGCCATTAGCTATTAATCACATAAAGAATAGAGAGAAGTCAACGTTGTAAAGAAAAGTTTACTAGCTATTGAAAGTTTAGAAAAAAATTAATTGTATGGTATAAGAAAAAAAATCACTCATAATCATGTATAATTCAGAATTTATATATTATTACAAAAACTGCTAGGTTTTTAATCCTCAGTTATGCAAAGGAAAACTTTATATATATATATATATATATATATATATATATATATATATATAAAGCCAAAATTATTAAAAACTAAATTTATTTAGCATTTTTGGATGACAAAATTATGGGGTTATCAATGGTACCAAGGCTATTTTACTTGCAATTCTCATGGAAATTTTAATTTATTTTCTTTTTTCCTCTCTTTTTTCCAGAGCTCTGGACCGGAGATTTTCCATTATATTTTTTTCCTATAAAAATGTAAAGTCTTAACGTCCAATCATAATGCTTATTTGTGTGAGCTTTTTTTTTTTTTTTCCCTTTCAGCTTTACCTCTATTCTTCAATGGACAAGCATGGATGAAGAACAATGAATTAATTATGAATCTTTTTTTTAAAAAAAGGATCAAAATGATTGTAGATGGCGTTAGTTTTGTCATAGCATTGCATGCAGAAGCTAACCATTGCACATATGCAGGTTTTGCAACTTCTTTATAATTTACGAGAAAAATCAAACCTATTGTTTTTAAAAGAAAAAAAAATATAAGGCTGATCGAATCCCTCGCTTCTTTGTTCTTATTTTCGCTTCTATTCTCTAATTTTTCTACACAACCAAGCTACTGCAGTTTGCATTTACTCAACATATGGATGGTTATTCCTATCTCATGATGCTATGAGATTGCACAAAAACCTATGCAGCATACCGTTGTAAAAATTATTGGATATTGTCGCATGATCCCACCCATAATTCTCCTACAAACGCTTTTCATATTTTGAGAAAAAAACAAAATTCACAACAACTGATTTCTTTTATTTGACAATGACCCTATAAACGATGCTAATTTCCCAACCTCCTATAACTTATTTATCTAGCTGTTTGTGCCTCGATTTGCATAAAGTGAAAAAGCTAAACGATGCTTAGGCATAAAATGTTTGGAGTTTCATCAATAATAATAATAAAAAAATCTCAATAACTAAAATTGCACACCTTTTGCATGTTACAAAGCTTCAGCCATGAAATAGTGCGATTGTCCATCTAGTTTATAATCAAAACTATAAAATTTAACCAATTTACTATTATGACATTTGAGACCGATAAGATGTTTATGCCCAACTAATAAATTTAGCGTTAGCTAAATGCAATTGTAAAAATAATATAAGGCTGTGAATTCATTATTTAAATATGAGTATTACTAAGCCTTATATGATATAAATAAGCACTGTTGTACATAGTTATCAAATTAGGGCAAGTTCCAAAAAAACCAAAACCAAATTCAGGTCCGGTTTGTAATTGAATGGTATAAACTCTTGATTCGGTTAAATTTAATTAATATGATTGAAGTCTAATTAACTCAATTGATCCAAAGCAAGTTAAAAAAAAAGAAAAAGAATTCAACTCTTTAAAAAAAAAATAAAAACTTTGATATGTAAGTCAATTCAATAACCTAACTCGAATTTGGTCCGTTTGACAATCATGTTGTTTTGGTATAACATCATGAATTATAAATATAAATTTTGTATGAACTACTCGTATCGTCACTAACTAATAGAAATAACAATTTAACTTGAACACGATAGATATTATTCATGACCACGATATATATTATTCAAATTAACTCGAACGGATATAATTTTTTATGAATAGTTACTATTTTAAATCGAATATGGATATTCAAAATTCTTACTCACCGAGTAATAAATAAAGTATAAATATTATCAAACTCGATCCCAAATATATATTAGTATTCAATATATATATAAGTGACATGTTTTTCATTAAATATGATATACACACACTCCATTATTAACATTATACACACAACATATAATATTTCTAATTTTTCATATATATAATAATAATAAAATTATAAATACTATATATGTGCACACACTCGCCTCAAATATATATATACACATTATTTTTTATTTTTTATTGAATAATAAATAATACTCGAATAATAGATATTTAAATAGATATTTGAAATTGATGAATTAAATGTGAATATCTAAATTTGTATGTGATAAATAATAAATAAAACATGATTATTTAAACTTTCATCCAATAAATAATAAATAGAATATAAATATAATGCGGAGTATCTTTCGAAGAATGGGTAACCGTTACCTTCCCTGGTAGCCAGTTTCATGGAATGATGTCTCTCTCTCGTTCACCGAAACAAAAACAAATAGAAAGTGGGAAAACAAAATAGGGGTAGGTCATGGTTGCAAAAATCACAAATACGACCCAAGAATTTTTTTCGTTCAAAACCAAACCATGCCACGAAAGTCTACAAAAAAACAGAGATAGATCAGCACTAAGCAGGCCACTTCAGACTTCCATAATTCAGCCACGCGTGGCGATATCTCATTGGTTTATTAAAATCATTGCTTTCTTCCAGCATGATCTAAGCCGTTCAAAGACAGCCGGCCCAGGCATAACCACGTGACTATCTAGTAGAAAAGTCCAACGACCCTTTTAAAGAATGGATCGAAGACCAGAAACTTCCATGTCTTGAACAACCCAAGTAACCAACCTCTTTATAACTGTCCCACTTCGTCTCTGGTTTCCAGTTAGTAAGGTAGAAAGAAGGAGAGAGAGAGAGAGAGAGAGGCCACCATTTTCATCATGGGCAAGTGCTATCCAACAGTGAGTGAAGAGTATCAAAAAGCAGTGGAGAAATGCAAGAGGAAGCTCAGAGGACTCATCGCTGAAAAACACTGCGCTCCTCTCATACTCCGATTAGCGTAAGAATATCCCTATCTCTCTCTGATTGGTTTCTTGTTTTTTGGATAGTTTGGGAGGATTGACTGGTAGTGTTTAAAGTTTTTATGGGGTTTTGTATTTTTTTTGTTGTTGATGATGTAGATGGCACTCTGCTGGTACGTTTGATGTGCATTCAAAGACAGGAGGGCCATTTGGGACGATCAGACACCCAGATGAGTTGGCTCATGCAGCTAACAATGGTCTTGACATCGCTGTCAGGCTGTTGGAACCCATCAAAGAGCAATTCCCCAACTTGTCTTATGCTGACTTCTACCAAGTAATGTTTGCCGTGCCTTAATTTGATTTGTAAATTAATAATGATGTTTTTTATTTTTTTCTTGATTTTATTTACGATTATTATTTCTTGGTCCTTGCAGTTAGCTGGTGTTGTTGCTGTTGAAGTTACAGGAGGGCCTGAAATTCCCTTTCACCCTGGGAGACCAGTTAAGTGATCAGATCGTCTCTTAATAATTCATTCTTCATATGTTCTTTTTCATACGTGTTTGTGTGTTTTTTTCTGCTTTATGTTGTGCCTGATATTGACGTTCTTCTTTTCTTGGAAAATAAAAATAAAAATAAAAATTGTCGAAGTATATATATTTTAATAAGTTTATAGGATCAAGCTCTAGATATGCGCACCAGATTCTTTTAGTGACCTGATGGGTTTCAGTTTGATCTGAGGATCACATATTTGAACTCCTCGTAAAAGTTTGGTAGAGTTTTATTACTTTGCAGGTCATTCAGTTTATAGGTAGGAAAGCAAAGTGATGCAGCTAATGAAGATTGTTCTTCCTTTGCTGCACTGTAAAGGAAATTCTATTAAGGAGGAAGTGCTCTCGATTTAAGAGCTTTTCACCTACTACTGCATTTATTGGGCTAACCTGCAATGCATGCGGTTTTGTTTTCGGATGAATTTTCAAGCTTGAATTCAATGAACAAATATAATTTAGTGGCTTACTGATATCAGTCCCTACTGTCAAGGTAAATTGGTTGCTCTGAGCTTTTACCAAACACCTGAATGTTTGGGAGGGAAAGTGAGCAGTGTAAAATGATCTTAATTTGCGAAACATCATGCAGTGCTCGTTGTGGACTAAAAAAATAGATGATGCGCATGCTATGGTACTTTCGTATTAGAGATAGCTAGTTTTACTTGTATGCTCCAAAGATTAGTTTGAGTTTAGCTTGTACCAAATTGGGGAAACTCTGCCCAGCAGAGTTTCCTCCAACTCCTTTTATGGATTAGTTAGCTTGAAAATAGTTCATTATGCTAGGTGATGAGAGGCTAAAAGTGAGAATGGGGTAATAATGATTTGGCTGACTTGTACTGCAATCTATTAAAGCTGTTTGTTCGGAGTTGGACTGACCTGTGCAGTCATATGGCACCGTTGGATGACATTGACTCTACTTGTTCCTGTTACCTGGAATTAGTTGTGCACTTTTCCTTCATTGCTTTTGTAGCTTTGGTGGGATGTGGATGGGGCCATCCAAATCGAAGAAAAGCTTATTATTGGTTGGTTGGGGTATGGTTACGAAAAGGCAGTATATCTTTCAAAGCTGCTTTTGATTCTTATAGCAGTCTGAAATGAATCTTTCTAGAGTTGTAGAGGTAGGAAGCGGTGTGTTAGAAAGAAATCATAGTAATGAAAATTTTGGCAACTGTCTGTAACGACCATCATGGCTTTTTGGGGAACTCGTGGTTCAGTTCTTAGATAGTAGTACTAATCAACCTTGCATTTATTCAGGACAAGTCTAATTCACCTCCAGAAGGTCGCTTGCCTGATGCAACAAAAGGTTTGTTCAACCTGAAAACTGAAGGAAATCATTATAATTTTGCAATTATGTTTCAAATGAATTTCATGATCTTTTTCTGTCACTTCAGGTTCAGACCATTTAAGGGATGTCTTCGGCCATATGGGTCTCAGTGACAAAGATATTGTTGCCCTATCTGGTGGCCACACTCTGGTCTGTTCACAAACATGGAATTTCTCTGCTGGTTTCATTTGATTGTTGCTCATTTTGTGCGATTTAAGTAAGGGATTATCTTCTTATTCGATTTTATTGATGTGCATTATTGGTTGTTGCACATATATTTATAGGGAAGGTGCCACAAGGAGCGTTCTGGATTTGAAGGACCCTGGACCCCCAATCCTCTTGTTTTCGACAACTCCTATTTCAAGTAAGACACATTCAGCTCCATAAATATTCTTTCTTTACATAATTCTGTCTAGAATTCAAATCTTAATGCGTGATTTTGCTAATATCTCACTGACTGGTGCTTTGCATATGTTGTTTGGAAAACAGGACGCAATCAAGTAACTAATGTGAATTTTGATTCTGTTAAACAGGGAACTCCTCAGTGGAGAGAAAGAAGGTCTTATCCAGCTTCCATCAGACAAGGCTCTTCTGGAGGATCCAGTCTTCCGTCCCCTTGTTGAAAAATATGCTGAAGTGAGTGTGCGCTCATTTCTAGTAGATATAAGCTGATAGGTTTTATAACGTTCAACTTGACAATAATCTGTTCCCAAAGTGTAATCATCAAATTGTGGTGGCTTTGCTTCAGGATGAGGATGCCTTCTTTGCAGATTATGCTGAAGCTCATTTGAAGCTCTCAGAGCTTGGGTAAGCGAAAAGCAACTTTCAATTCTGTTCTCTCTTTTAACATTTGCCTTTTCCATATGGTTTTTGTTGTCTCTGAGCTTCTTCTAAATTCGTCCACTGCTGCAATTTCATTTCAGATTTGCTGATGCTTAGTGAGGGACTGGAAAAGGCTCATGCAGCTGTTATTGTGTGTTTAATTGCCGGAGGCTGTCTATTTTCACTGTTACTTTTTAGATCAGATAAAGATATATGAATATGGAGATTGGCCATGTTGTTCCATACTTGTGTGTTTCTTTGTGTTATATTATAAACCTAGGCAAGCTACCTTTTGTGTAGTACTGGAAGATGGAATTGTATAGGATTGCGTTGGTCCTCAGGATCTTAAACTAGCCAGATTTGTTATGCCAATAAAGCGTGGTAGTTCCCATCCATGGATTATAAATTTGCAATTCCTGACATAGATTTCAGTTAAAATAACTGTCTTTCCAGCGACTTGTTAACTTAAAAACTCTTGATACGTAGATTTGCCCCCTAGCATAGACCCATTCAGATAATAGTTTGATTGGATTATCTCAAGCCTCCCGCTGAGTGCAGGAGAAGAAAAGTTTACAAGGCAGGGCTCATGGCTCTGATTGACAAACGAGCTCTTGATGCAGACGAACTGTTTAATAAAGTTAAACAAAATCATCTTTATTTTTCGGTAGCTAATGTTTTAAGCCAATTAAATAGGCTAGTGAATGCTTGCTTGGTGCTCGGCAGTTAACGTGATGAAGATAAGGTTCTAGTTATGCTGAGAGGTCGGTGTTTCGGCGCACATGAATGAAGCTTCGTTGTCCCAGGATCAGATAAAAACCATGGATTGATATGATAAAAGAGTTCGTATAATATAAAAATATATTCGACCTCACTAAATATCTTCGCTAAGTGATCATGAACTTGACTCTGTCATTATGCCACCTCCATTCTCTTCTGATTAGATTAAAAAAAGAAAAATGAAAGGACTTCTTGCACAGAAAGCAGGCTGTTTAATTAACTGTTTTTTGCTGCCACGACAATTAGTGGGAATGGCCTAATTTTGAAGCCGGGGCAGGGAAGATAAATCAAATACTAAAAAGGACAAAGTATTAACGGATGGATTTATTATCTAATTAAAAAGGATCTCGTCACTGCATGCATAGGTTGCTTTGGATATTATTTATTTTGTGTTTTTGTTTGTTTGTTCTCCTGACATGTTCTGTTACCTCGTAATCGTTAGATTCTATCAGTTTAGATTTGTTTCCTTTAGCTTGGTACGCTGGACATGTCTCGCAAATTTTTCCGAGTTAAGGCCGAACGATCCATGTCTGCCCAAGTTTTGCCCGTGTGATCTACGTCACGGAGAAAGACCTTCGACTTCCAAGCGTCAACATCTGCGGAGGGTTTGCAGCCTAGGGCTATGTGTAGGTATATCAGAAGCTAGGTGGTATCGTGGAGCTGCACCGTAATGAGGAAGGAAGCGTAGAGGGAGACGTGGGAGAATAACTGAGAACAACTCAATGATGCTGATCAACGAGAGCGTGTCGTAGGTGTGGAGTCAATGTACTACTATAGAGATGAGAAGACAAGTCTTAGAAATAATGAGATGATTGGTTATTAAATAATAGAAAATGAAAAACACTGTTAACACACTGCTAATTAAGAAAACAAAACATGATTTATTATTCCAAACACGATCACACACTCACGTTTCAATATTTTTTTCACTGTTTATGGATTTTTTTATATTTTTATTTTTGATATTTTTAAACGAATATTTTGATCCATATCTTTATTTGCTAATCCATTTTGATCCTTGGATGTAGAAAGAAGGGAGGGAGGAAAAGAGAGAGGGGAGGAGAAAGAGATCACTGATAAACCTTATTTAGGCCACTTTGGCTCGTCAAAATTCATTAGATTTTTTTATCTTTAAGAGATGAATTTGTTCTTGATGGTTTAAGCCATTAAACAATTAAAGGAAGTAGATCGAGCCAAAAAGGAAAACAAAGTTTTGATTTGATTGTGTAATTTTTTTTGTTTTGTGTGCATTAAAATGATTTTTAAGGTTTTAAATATGTTTATTGGCTTTATTTCGATCATTAAGAGGTGTTTGGGGAGAAAAATAATGTCAGAATTTAATTTCTAAGAGTCCGAAACTTGACCCTCGATTTTTCAAAGAAGCTTTCGATGACCTTGAGTTCGTCGGAAGTTGCAGCTCTTTCTTCTTCTTCTTCTTCTTCTTCTTTTTTTTTTTTTTGGAGCAGCAGAGCTGCCTTAGTGCGCATGCCTTTTTTTTAAAAAAAATAAATAAAAATTAAACCCTATATTTGTTTCTTAAAAAATATTTCCTATAAGATTTTCTACTTGGCCAGGATCAGCAATATCATGAGAATCCATCTTATTTCACATTGTGAAGAAGCTTTTGCCATATGTAAGACCAACTGCTAGGGCTCGTTTTCCTCAGTTTATTTTAATTCCAAAAAAAAAAAAAAAAAGTTAAAGGAACATTTTAAAACAACTAAGGATGAAATGCTCAGTTGTTTCATAGAAGAGTTGACATTATTTTTCAATTACTTAATAAAAATTACTGGGTTAATTGTTATGATAACACATGAAATTAGGACACCTTTTCTCAATAATTTTATCTTACAAATCTTTTTTTCAACCAAATCTTTCTACTAAATTGGTAAATTATTAGGGACTAAATTATTTTATTAAAACTTTTTTCAAATTGTTACATGTAATTTATGAGAATTAAATATATATATTTTAATTATAAACCTTAAATATTTTAAACATGGGCAACTTCACTACCCATGAGACTCAATCATTTACATTTAAGAATTTGTAAGATTTTATATGTACGTTCTAAATTTATCAAGCAAATATGTTTCCATGGATTAATACTATTTACACCAATCCGTAGCGTTTTTTTTGTTTTTTAGTTTAATTTATTTTTCCTTCAATATTACATAAGTAATTTTAAAAAAATTATAAACATTTTATTGCTAATTTATTAATTATTAATTAATGTACATGTTCAATTTGTTCATAAAAAATAATTAAGAATTCAATTAATTTTATTATTTACTAATCTATGTTTTTTTCCCCTAATTTTGGCATAAGTTACACAATAAATGGATTGAACTAAAGAAAGGATCATTTTTCTATACATTTTTTTTTCAATTTCAAACTTTAATTGTATTGTGATTTGGTCCCATTTTTTTTTAGTGTTTTTTGTTGATTATTTTTATTATTTAAAATTTATTACTTTAATTTGTCATTTCTTTTAAATTTTCATCCAATTAATTTAAAATTATATTTAATGATAATTTTTGATTTATTTTAATATCATTCATTCTTTTATAAATAAATATATAAATATTAAATTCACATATTTTTCAAAAATCGATATTCTCATCAACATGAAATACTAAAGCTTTTAAAAAAACTTATTTAATTTTTTTTAGTTAATAATCCATGGATTAACAAGGATAAATCATTTTATAAAGAAATAATTGTGAAAAACATAAATAAGAAATTGTTAAATACAAATTTTTTTATTAAAACATTATAAATATTTTTTTAACCTTTGATTTCATATATTTTTATAGATTTACACCATAAAACGAGACTATCAAAGTGAAATGATTTTTCTAAAAATTTATATATATTTTATCCAACCCGCGAGTGTAGGATGCAAAAAAAATTGAGTATCATATAATATTAAATTAATTGGGTGAGAAAAGAATGAATAATATTAAAATAAACCAAAACTATCATTAAATATAATTTTAAATTAATTGGATGAGAATTTGAAAAAAATGACAAATTGAAGTTATATATTTTAAATAATAAAAAAAAAACTAAAACAAAATGGGACTAAATCACAATACAATTAAAGTTTAATTTTTTTAAAAAAATGTATAGAAAACAAATTTTTATATAATATATATTTTTTTAATTTCAAACTTTAATTGTATTGTAATTTGGTCCCATTTTTTTTTTAGTATTTTTTGTTGATTATTTTTTTATTTAAAATTTACTACTTTAATTTGTCATTTTTAAAAATTCTCATCCATTTAATTTAAAATTACATTAAAAAATTTAAAATATTTTTTTTCATCTTTGATTTCATATATTTTTATAGATTTATACTATAAAACGTACTATCAAACCGAAATGATTTTTTTAAATAATTTTATATATTTTATCCAGCCCACAATGTAGCACGGGCAAAAAATCTAATTTTTTCTATTTTCAGTATTTATTTTCTCATTATTCATCTATTGTTCGTACAAAAATTTCCACTTTGGTTCGTCTATTTTGAACAATGTGTTTTTTGTCGAAAAATTTATTTTTCATTTATTTTGATCTCCACATCCGAAGAGGAGAGAGAGAGATTAGAGGAGAGAGATGGTCGGCGAGGCCTATTTTGGCCATCTCAATGGCCAATCTTACCATCAATTTGTTCACCTCAAAGAGTAGAATCCGTTTGTGGTGGCGATAAGCCATGAAATGATAGGAGGAGAAAGATTAAAAGCTCGAAATATTTTGAGTTTTTTTATTTGAATTTTTGTGTGTTTTGTTTGTGTAAATTAAAATAAAATTTGAGATTCTAAACAAGTTTTTTTTTTATGTTATTTCAGTGGTTTTGAATAAAATCGAGACTAGATTTGGTTTTGGGAGGCTCGAAATAATAAAACTCGACTTTTCAAAGAAATCGATTGTTGAAAAATGTAGAGGTCGCTAGAAATGAAGAAGTGCCTAAGCTTGTGCAAGCCTAGCGCTTTAGGTCCAGTCGTATGGGCTCTCTCTCTCTCTCTCTCTCTTGTTTTCTTTACTTTTTGGTTTTCTTCTTTTTTTATATTTTTTTTGTAAAACTTATGAAATATCGAGGGTATTATTTTTATTTTTCACACAAGTGTGACAAAGATAAAATATATAAAATATTATTTTTATATTTAAAAATTAACATATATTTTAGATTATATTACTCTTATTACATAAAATTTATTCTTTGAGTTTGTCATTTTTTTGTGAAAATCCTATCCAATTAATATTTTTTAATGAAATTTTATTTACCGATAGATATAATTTTTTTTTCATATTTGAATTTTAGAATAAAATTTTAAAAC